AGGTACGTCAACGAATACGGGATATTCGAGTCCAAACAATGGGAAACATTACATTAACTGAGATAAATTGTTCATTTCTTCGTCTGGAGGTATGAAAGATAATCCAGTGTATAAAATGAGAAGCAATGACAGAAAATTTACTCTTTTCATCAATAATAATTACAAGCTGTAGGATGAGATGTCGCAGATTGAGAATGATATTACCTCTAATAACACTGGTTCGGACACTACCTTCCTCCAGTTTTCATTTAAATCTACTCGATTATATCAAGTATGTGACGTCATTCAATTCGCTTACTTAATTTCGTTTTAATCTCAACCTGATTAATGTTTCAATGTGTTATTTTGGTTTTCGGGTTCGATTCCGATATTGATCAGGGTTACCTGCTACCAGAAACCATCGTCACTATACTGTATCTAGTTTCTTGTGTTAAAACTGTTTTAATCTGTGAAACTATGTCCTATAATTGCATTGTTTACAGCCGGTTGGTTCTCAAGTTTCTACTAAACTTGGGTAGCAACTTATCCCATCACATGAGATAACCGTTTCAGACATTTTTAGTACAAACCCCTTATTGATGGGAAATAAAACCCACTACCTGTGGTCTCAGTCATTCAATGATGTTTTTGGATTACATTAGTAGAAAGGCATCTGAATACATGCGAAAAATTGTCTAAAACCATGCTCTGCGACCCCCAACGACACCTCTATTCCCAAATCTCTCCTTGTGTCTCATCACGTAGAACCAGAAATCAGTACAAAATAATATATGCTCGTACAACCAAATATAGAAACTCAATGATACTATATTTGGCCCGTGTCCTAAGTGGCAGAGACAGTTGTTAAGCGAGAAACCTATGACTTGCTTTGTTGTTAATAACATAATCTTAGGCTCTTTTATTTCTCCCTTATTCTCTCTTATTTGTACTCTATAGTGAACAACCTCTTAAACTTACTTAGCTACCTAAATTATTAACATTGGCTTACATCTTTTCGCACTTTATTCTCTTCCTTCTTTTGTGTATCGGCAATATTAACTGACAATCTTGGTTGTGAACGCCGTTATCACCATCTTAAAAAATTTTGTACTACGCATGATTACTCACACCACCACTACAGACACCACATTAGAGTTGACCATGAAAAACCTGAAATGTTTATTTTATGATTGTTTAGTGTTGTTCAATCAAATTAACTGATCATCTTGGCGATAAACATTCTTAATATCATTTCATAACTTCTTGTATGATTAAAGCTGTTACTGTTCACCACGCATACACATATCATAGCTTCCACTGCCCAATTATTATTATTATTGCTCCCTTGGGTTCCTAGTGGAACATAGTGTTTCAACTGCAAGTCCCCATTTTCTTCTGTCTTCTGCTATACTTTTCGCCTGCATCCATGGTTATCCATATTCTTTCAACTCCTCTTCACACGATCTCCTCCATGTCACCCTTGCACCAACGTCCCACACGCCGCTTCCCTTTCGGGTTCCACTCGAGGGCTTGGCGCGCGATGTCACCCAGCGGTCTCCTCAGCGAGTGTCCGATCCATCTCCACTTTCTCCTGCATATTTGTTGGGCGATTGGTTCTTGCTTTGTTTGTTCCCATAGTTCCTTGTTGGTGATTCTTTCCGGCCATCTGATCTTCAGTGTTGAGCGAAGACAGTTGTTAATAAAGGTCGGCAGCCTTTTGGAAATATTCTTTGTGACCCGCCAAGTTTCTGATCCGTATAGAAGAACTGACTTTACGTTTGTATTGAAAATCCGACTGAATTTTGTTGTTGATGCTGAGTGACGAAAATTTCCAGATTGATTTCAGGCTGATGAATGTGTTTCTCGCCTTCCCGATTCTCGCTCGATTTGACATCCTCGTCCGCTCCTCCTGTAGTTGAGACAATGCTCCCTAGACAAGCGAATGAGTGAAGTAAACTCTTTCAAATCCCTCCCGTTGATGGTGATTGACGTTGGATGTTGTTGCCGTTGTTGGTTGGTTATTTTCAAAACCTCCGTCTTGTCTATGTTTACCTGGAGTCCTGTCTTTGCTGCTTCTTCGACCAGTTTGTCGGTTTTCGCTTGTAAGTCTTCGATTGTATGTGACATCAAACATAAATCATCCACGCGCGAAATCCAGGTCTTCTAGGTTCTTCACGTCGGTCGTCCAGGATATTCCTGTCTTCTCGTTTCCCACAGTCTGACGCATAATCCAGTCCACCACAATTAGGAATATCATTGGTGATAGTAAGCACCCTTGTCTGACTCCTGTGTTTACTCCAAACGCCTCGCTGAGTCTTCCGTTGTGGATCACTTGGCAGGTGCCGTTGTCGTACAGCTGTTGAATAAGGTTGATGAATATTTGGGGCACACCGTAGTACTCGAGTAATTTCCAAATTACTTCACGGTCAACGCTGTCGAAGGCCTTCTCAAAGTCTATAAAGTTGAGGTAGAGGTTTGATCGCCATTCCATGCTTTGTTCGATGATGATGCGTAGAGTTGCAATTTGGTCAGTACATGATTCCTGACTTTCCTGAATCCAGCTTGTTCTGGTCGGAGTTCTGTATCCAGTGCGTTCTTTAATCTCTCCAGGATGATGCGACTCAGGATTTTACTTGGCGTCGATAGGAGCATGATTCCTCGCCAGTTCTTGCAGAGTCAGGCGTAAGTCGCCCTTCTTTGGTAGTTTCACGAGGTAACCTTTCCTCCAGTCAGTAGGCACCTTTCCCTCCTTCCAGACCTTTTGCAATAATGGAGTCAGCATGTCTGCTGTACTCTCTGGGTCCGCTTTCAGTGCTTCAGGGGGTATTCCATCTGGTCCAGCTGCTTTTCCAGCTTTCAGAAGCTTGATTGCATTCAAGACTTCAGCTCTCTTTGGAGGATTGGTGTCAACTTGCAGTTGTGTGCGCGCTGTTGTTGGTATTTCTGGACGGGTTGCAGGTGATGGTCGGTTCAAGAGTTCTTTGAAGTGATCCGCCCATTGTTTAATCTGTTTTTCTTCCTTGGTAATTGGGTTCCCTTGGCTGTCTTTTATAGGTTTCGCTTGTGTTGGTCTCTTCCCGGATAGAGATTTGGTTATCTGATATAATGTCCTCAGGTCCCTTTTGCCTGCTGCCTTCTCAGCTTCAGTGGCCAGATCGTCATAGAATCGTCTTTTGTCCTTCCTAGCACTCTTCTTCACTTCTTTGTCCAGTGCTTTGTAAGTTGAGTTCAGCATCTCCTTCTCCTGTCCGTCCTTGCATTGAATCATTTTCTCTTTCACCATTCTCCTCTCTTCTATTAATTTCCAAGTGTCCGTTGAGAGCCATTCCTTGTCTTGTCTCTTCTTTCTTCCTAGAACCGTTGAACACGTTTCGTTGAGAATCGCCTTCAGAGACTTCCAATGTTCTTCCACGCATGATTCTTCAGTGATGTCGCGTAGTGTTTTCTGCTTTGCTCTGACAGTTGCAGTGAAGGTGTCTTTTGTGGTTGTGTTCTTCAGTAATCGAGTGTTGAACTTGCATTGTGGCCTATCCCCAGCTATCCTCGAGGCTTTTAGTTTCACCTTGAAAGTCCCTTCTACTAGATAGTGGTCTGAACCCACATCTGCTCCTCTCCTTGACCTTGTGTCCAGTAGGCTCCGTCTCCACTTTCTTGAAATTGAGATGAAGTCTATTTGATTCTTGGTGTTTCCATCTGGTGAAATCCATGTCGCCTTGTGTATGTCTTTGTGCGGCTATCTGGGCAGCCTTTCCAGTTTCGTACATTGTGCGAACATTCTAGGTACCCATCCTTACTTTTGCTTTCATCGAAAGAAGGCACATCGGTTGACTGGCTTCCCGAAGGCTTTCACCAGCCTGCGTCATTTCACTTCCCCGATTCCAGCCAAAAGTAAGGCTATTGCTTATGTTTTTAGAATTTTTAATATATTTATTCGTTGAAGTTTCTGTAGCGATTTGGTAGTTTTACAGGGGTGGAGTTGCTAGCACCACGCCCCAACCCTCCCTTGGGACCGGCGAGAATACTAGTAAGCTAGTAGCCTAGCAAGCTAGTATCTGGCCGCTGCCCAATACTGAGATATTATTTATTATATTGTTTATTATCCTTTCTACTTTTTGGTATTTTTTTCGCATTTTTTTGTTATTTTTGTGTGTTTTGTTTTGTTTTTTTGTTGTTTTTTATATTTATTATTTTAAATATTCCTTTTTAAATGTTTGATAAAATTAGATGCAATATTATAGATATGTGCTGAAAATTCCACACTGTATCGCTAGTACTGTTTCTGGAATAAAGCAAAAAATTAATAAATTATTATTAATTATTATGTACTCGTGCACACTTTTCACTTTGTTTTCAATGGAATTTCATTCATTTCTCTAAAGAGATAAAGAAGGAATGTTGGAGAGATCGGTTTTTGCTTCAAGTCAGACGACACTGCTTTATGCTATCTATAATCATTTACTGTTTTACTTAAAAGTGCCGAACGAAGATAATATATTATGTATTAAACTCTGGTGACAATTCTGTCCACTTCATAAACACTGTCCAGAATAAAGCTATTATCATTCCTAACACATGTAGCCCACAGAAAATTTTAACATACAAAAACACATTTTGCGCAAGTATTATATACCTCGGAAAGTTGAGCCAGCGAAAAACCAATTGTATTAGTTTGATAAGGTCGGACTTGTGGGTTGCCTGGTCGTGTTATTATAATTATTCTGCCTCACTCCAACGACCTAATTTATCCAAACTGTTTTAACCCTGTTTTTTAATGTCCGGGTCTATTTAAAGTGGTTTTGACCATTTGTTCTCAGTTTATTACATAGTCTTGAATACGGATAATGTATACAAGACGGCGGTGTGATAACAGCTAACACTACCCTCTAATTATAATGGGTCAGAAAAAGCAGTAAGTCGAGTAGGCACACTAGTGTATACAAATATTGTTTTCTGATAAAAATAAAATATATTTTGCTTTAATTTTGTTTCTTTTTTCCCTTTTTTCCCCTCCCTCCTGACAGTTTTCGAAATCTGGTTCCAGGTTTACCAAGTAAATTCTATTACAAACTAGAGCCAAGTTCAACGTTGACATCCTCCTCCTCTTCATCTACATCTTCCTCATCATCTCTGTCATTATCGTCAACCATAAAAGCATCAGCTCTCAACAAAGATAGTGACTTTCAAAAGAAACCCAAGTTGTATCATGATTATCGTCAAATGTTATCTAATGAAGACTGGTATCATATTCCAAGTGGACAATTAAGTTTAAATGATAAGCAGAGTATTGTCGACTTCACCGACTTCAGTACACACTTCTCTGTGTAAGTTTTATGCATAGTCTCCTTTTAGATAAATTAGCTTTTATGTCGACTGACTGAAGATTTGTTTTTCAGGTTACACCACGGCATGGTATCAGTTTTAGAACCAATGAAAACTAAGGAATACTGGATAGCTGTTTCGTCCCAGTTTGGGACTCACTGGTAGTACGCGCCCACTGGGTTACCATGGTTATTTATAGTTAAGACTTTTGAAATAAGAATATTTTATTCATTTTCGATTTGTTCACCTTCAGGTTTAACGTCTATGCATATCCAAATGAAGTAAATAATATTTTTGCATCAATTCCCCATCTAAGGTTTCGTTTTTGTAATAAATCATCAGTTAGACTGATAAGAAGACCTAGATTTCATGAACGATTGATATCTTATTTCCAAAAACTCAACGGCTCACAAGAGCATATCAACACGTTGGTGGAAGAGGCAGCCAAAAACAGACTTCAGATGAACATAGAGTAGACAAGGCTGAGGAATATACCCGACAAACCAACAAGTAACACCGGTCACCGACATCAGAAGGACCCTAAAGGAAGCCATCTCCTTCAACTTAGCATCGTTTCATCTGCAGATGGTACAGATTATGCTCTTCGAGTCAGACAAGATCAGAAAGGTGAGAAATGTGTCCATTGTTTTGAAATGGCTCTGGAGATCGACTACACTTCACACAGGAAACAAAATTAGAGTTTTTAATACTAAAGTCAAGTCAGTGCTTCTGCATGTGTTCAGATACCTGATGGGTTAGTCGCTAGTCTCACTGCCCCTGTCCTACTACTCTGCCGTATTTATTTGACCTAACAATCATTGCAAAGTATTAGATAAACTGAACCGTTTTCTTTAGTCGACACCACAGAATCCTTTAACCAAAATAATTTGTTTCTAGAGAAGATTATGGGGTTCGATATGAATTCATTCCATTTCTCCGAGGGTAAATCTTCCAAACTTATAGATCTTAACTTTAGGATTTATACAGACATTTATCACTGGAATATTAGAACAAATTTTAAATTTATTGCCTAATATGAAGAGGATTTAGAGCATAAGAAATGCAAGTGAATTCACTTCATCCTCATCATTATCACAGCAAAATATTTATGATAATGTATCTTGCCTTATTCTATTGAAAAATCTCTTTATGTAGTGCAGGGTGTTACAGTCTTCATTTGAGTTACTTAACAGTAATGAAATTCCACTGAGAATTCATATCCACTTTCTACCTTTCCTCTTTGTCTTGCTCTTCTGCTTCTTTTTCTAATTTCTGTAAGCCAGATTAATGAAATACCAGTAATTTTTATAAAAAAAAAGGGAATATGGAAGAGAGAAAGAAAGCCTAATAATTTTCGAATGGAATCTGAATTAACATTGATTGCTAGAGGCGATTTCTCTTAATGTTTCACGTGTACATCATTAAATAAAGAGGTGGAAAATGAGAAACAAAACCCAGTAACAACAGAAAAATTCCCTACTAACATTTTTCTTTTCATATTTTCTACCTATATATGGAAAAATGACTCCATTTTGTGGTTATCTACCCGCCTTCCTTAGTCCCTTCCTTTCCTGCTGCCTACCTGTCTTTCCTTTTCCCCTTTTCAGTGAAGGCTTCTTTCTCTCTTAATTATCCTGCTATTTTCCCGTTAATCCAACAAGTTATAGATACATAGTAATACTGATTGACCTAGTATTGCTTGTTATCAATAGTTGGGTGTATAAAATGTGTAAAATCAGGTGTAAGAATGCAATTTGTGCTTTATTTATACACCTGTAGCCAGAGACAAACACTCTCTATCGTGGACACCACTCCTAATGATCTCCTCCCCTCACCCGCACACAAACACACACACATTCATGCATACCTAACGAAACAAAAGAATAATGTCAATGGTAGTACCTTGAATAAGTGAATATGTTGAAGTGAAACATGGCACCACCTACTAAGATATACACTTACAGATAGAAAAGTGAAAAGGTCACTAAGAAAGAAAGAAAGTTTTGAAAAAAAACCTATCTCCACATCAACAACACAGTAGATTTAATCTTTTTCCATACATACCACTCCCCCCCCACACACACACACATGTATGCTGAATGCAATACTTGCAATACCTAAAAACAAACCCATATTAGTATATAAGTAGAATTATATATAAACACATCAGGTATTAAAGTGTTTCTAACACCTTTAATGAAATATACGAATCCCTTTAATGATTACTATTATCTTGAAAGTACAAAACCGAAATTATTAACCAAGATGTAGAATGATGTACTAAGTTGGCCTGAAGATGAAAGAGTCTGAAAGGTGGATTATATAACTATGAATCTCTTCTCCCTCCCTTCCTCCCTCTCTCTCTCCCTTTCTCCCCCCTGATTATTGCCTCCGTATTCAACACTATTCCATATGGAGTAAAAACAAGAAATATATCAGAATAAAAAGTATATATGTATTATAGAAGAAAAAATATCTGACATTTATGAAACTTGTCAGATTAATTGCATTTCACTCTCTCACAGTAAAATAACTTTATCTGAGTTGTAGTTATAATTATAACCCTTGTAATAGTGTTATTAATAATAACAATAATAATAATATTTCCAAGTCAATTGGACCGCATATAGATAAGTTAATCTATGCATTCGTTCATATTTTTGTTTCGTTTATGTAAGCATCTGTAAATGCGTGTTCGTATTTTTATAATCAGATGTACAACAGAAAAGGTTATACACGTATTTCTTTCGCTATGAAGTACTACCAAGTAGATAGATATTTACTGCAAAAATGTTACATTAAGCATAAGAATATATGTACATATATGCTGTGTTTGCGTATTTCATAGTATAAAGTATGGATAATTACTTTTACGATTATAGGCAAGAGTGACTGGCTAGTTGCAAATATATATATATATATTAAAAAGTAATATTTCCTGGTTAATAGTTTAATTAAATGAACTGGAAGAAACTTGGAATGATCGATCATTAGGTTTAGGCATATTGACCTAGTTATCTGAATAGTAAATGACCTGTTTATCAATATAATCTGATAGTTCTAAACTCTAATCCCCACTTGTATGTAGGTATACTTCAGTGAAATGTTTCCAGAGTAATTACAGTCGGGTATAGAGTGTTCCTGAATACTTTATAGCGCCATCAGATTAGTGTTAATTTAGAGGTTATTACATGAAATAGGCAAATTAACACAGTATCTGTTAGCTGAAAGAATCTAAGGAACAGTTGTCTTTATCAGTATTGAAATGAAAAATCTTCAGTAATGCCTATTGTCTGTGTGTATGTGTGTTGTAAAGCGATTAAAGGCAATCTTTCTTATAAAGTTAAGCTCAAATTTCTACAGTTCGTATATTGTCATTATTATACGTGTGGGTTCCGAATGTAATTTAAGGCTTCTGCAAGACATCTCTGTTTCCCTCTGTTCATAGCTCCACCATTACCCACAAGCTTTTGTCTACTCTTCATATGACATCCTTCATCTTAGGACGCGTCGGTGGCACAGCCCCGTTGGGACACTCGCCAACTATGCACGTGATCCAGGGTTCTATCACCGGCCGACGCATTCCTTTACCTCCCTCATCCAGAAATAATGCTGGTAAAGAGGAACGGTTGGGCATGAGGCTAGTAACCCATCCTGTAAAAATAGGCACCGCTACAGAAACCTCAAGCCACTAGCTTGAGGCCCTATGTTCCGCTGGGAACGTGAAAGAAAAAAACCTTAGGATGTTAATCGTTCGGGTTCGCTTGAGGCGAGTGATGTCTCACTCAACGGAATATTCAGTGTGTGTCCAATACGTCTCCATTTCCTTCGGCACCCTTTTTTGGCAATGGGTTCTTGGCTAATTGACTGCACTACCAGAATTCTTAGCTACTTATCCTTTCTGTCCGCCTGATCTTCAGTATTGAGCCAATGAACGCAGTTATTGATGAACGTCTATACCAACCTGTCGGAAACGCCTTCTGTGACGTGCTTGCCAAATCTCTGAACCCGAAAGAAGCACTGATTTGACAATGGTGTTTAAGATCTAGATCTGGTTCCTTGTGCTGAATACCACAAATTCCGATACTGGTTACAGAGTGATAAGAGTACGCCTTTCTTTTTTTTACCCTAACTTAAACATCCTCATCTGTACTACGGGCAGTTAAAATGATTCCGTTTAAACGAGAAAAAAACATACTTAGGTGTACATAAACACGATAAAAACGGTTGATAATGTTCAGTTAACTATAGGAATAGTCTATTTTAAAGAAACTGAATCAGTATACTCTAACTTCTCTTACATTTCTCCGACACTTGGTTTTGCTTCACAAAAGGTATTGAGATTTAATTATTGTCGGATATTTGATCCATGCCAAGAGCCTAAGTTACACTTCATCTAAATTCTTTCAATAGCACTCAGTCAGATCTAAGGAATTAATAAGTAGGCATAATAAGGGTTACTCCCTAATCACAAATTAATGTGTACATTACCCTTCCACAAGTGGTCAACCATGGTCCGAATGGTTCAGTGACAAAAAATATAATCTTAATAGTAGATGACACCAGACCGTTAGGCCCTGCAAGTTTCCTGATGACTGCCAGGACTAGCGAAATTGAGGTTTTGAATCCTTTCTTTATTTTCCTCCAACAGTCTAAAATCAACCTTAGAAAATCTGATATCACACATAGATGAAGACCTACAAGCGTAAACCGAAAAACTACCAGGAGAAAAAGACAGAGAAAATAGGATCGCAAGTAAACACAGAGAAGGTAAAAGGGGTGAAGGCACCCCCACCAACAGCCTCAAGCACCAGTGACTACTGACAGGGGGAATTTGAATGAGATCACCACTTTTACTAATTTAAGCAGCATCGTTTCAACTACAAGCTGTTTGGATGAGAATGTCGAAGACAGGACCGGAAAATAAAGACGAACTTTCATTAATTAGAAACCAGGGTGTGGAATCTGCTGCACTTTGGATAAAATAAAAGATTTCGATTTTCAACACTAATGTCAGATCACTTCCTCTAAGCGAATCAGAGACTTAGTGCACGCGTCATGAAATGAATTTCCGAAAGGCTGCCTCAGACTTTCATAAAGAGCTGAATTTTTTAACTCAGTTTTGAAGATCAGATGGCCATACAGAAAGCATTAAGACCAAGGAACTATGGGAATGAACCAATCAAGAACCTGTTGCCCACCACATATTTAGAACGAAACAGAGATGTATTAGAGAGACCGATGAGTGACATCACGTGCGAAGCCATCAAGTAAACTCCTAGTGGAAAACAGCAAGTTGGACGTTACTTGAAGTGCAACATGGAGGAGGTCGTATGTAGAAATGAGAACTTATGGATGGTCATGGGGTCAGCTAAAATGGACTTTATGGAATCGGATGAAATGTAGATATGTTGCTGAATCCCTATATTCCGTTCGAAAGCCAAGGGAATAACAACGGAATAATGTAACATCAAGTATGAAGCAATTTTATTATTAAACGTAAGATATGGGCATATGAAAACATATCTCAAGATCATCTCCCACCGCTATTCATATCGCCATGCGTCACAGATTCATGACTAATGGGTTTCCATTGCAAATCCTGTCGAAATGACAGCTGAATACTGGAATTTATGTAATTAAGTACACTGAAGTGCGTCGGTGGCACGGCGATTAGGACACTCGCCGACCATGCATATGGTTCGGGGTTCGATTCCCGACCGACGCACTCCTTTACCTCCCTCATCCAGAAATAATGCTGGTAAAGAGGAACGGTTGGGCATGAGGCTAGTAACCCCATCCTGTAAAAGTAAACACTGCTACAGAAACTTCAAGCCACCAGCTTGAAGCCCTATGTTCGACTGGGGAACGTGAAGGGAAAGTACACTAAAACATATGAAAATCAAATGGAAATATAATACTTAAAATTGGGAAAAAATTGTGAATGCGAACCAGGAATGAGTTTCTTTTGGTGGCTAATCTAAAGCTCATCTAGAAATTATTGTATATTTGGTTTTATGAAGAAGAATATTTACCTTCTGTTGGTTGAATAGAATATTGTGAAGAAAAAATGCATTGAGGATTTGACACTCTTTTCTACAGAAACAACTATTCAGATATTTTCCACACCTGCTGTATAAAATTGCTTCTGAGCAGCCTAAACTCATTCTACAAGGGATCAAGTTTCATATCACTTTTCAAGAGTTAGTTTGCACGGATTCAATTTATTTCAAGTTAAATTAAGGATTGATATCAGTTAGGGATCCACTGTAAACCACAGAGTATTGAGCAACTGTTTCGTCATAGTTCGGGTTTCATCATCAGCACTCACCAACTGGATTTCGAACCCAGGGTCTTCCCTTTGCAAGGCAAGCTCATAGACCATTCAGCCGATGTGACCTTGTCCAATGTTCCATGGATTTTAGCTTCTACCAATTTGTGATTTTTGTCCGACCACCACTTCGACAAGGCAGACTTCTTACCAGTAGCCAGTCAATTGCAGTGGAGTCCACTTTATCAGGCGTTAGGACAAATACTCACTGATGGCAATGAGGCTAAAATCGCTAATTTGTAGAAGTAAGAATTTATAACACTCATTTTAAAGCTAACTAGACACTACAGTCATCATGACAAATTATGTGTTCTCATGTTACCGTAAAAATGGCTGCTAGAGCTACCCTCGATATAATTATTTATGTAAAGTAGACATCTGGTGTTTTATTCACCGTGTTTCCTTCCTTTTCCATTTCCTTTTTATCACAGATTCTCAACAGCTGTGACAAAGAAAAGCGGTAATCTCATGTCGAGTGACACAAATGCCTATTTTTTAACACTTACACAAGTTCGTCTTCTGCTACTTTTATTAGACGCTATTATTATATTAGCCAGATGTTTTCAAACATTTAATTTTATGCATAATATATGGTTTGGTGATACTCGTTTAGTCAGTGGTAATCATTCACTGCATGGTATGAATGAGAATTCACAAGTTATGATTGAATCATTCGATTCTTCTACTATTCAGCAGCAACAACAGCACCGACAATCTCAATCGTTATCTCTAACGCAGTCACAATTACAACAACAACAGCAACAACAACACTCGACATCTCCAAATCATCCATCCAATTGTCATTATCAACTTCAACAGAATATAAGATCACCCAAACGGATTCCATTACCAGTAGGATCTACACCATTTCTGCATCCTACATCGTGTTCATCAAGTCTACGTGAATCTAATCACCATACAGTGTCAAATGTATGTCGTTTTTTACTTTTTTTGAAGTTTTCTACTTAAGATGTCTAAGTTAATGTTTCTTTTCTTGGGGATTCGTTAGTTCATATCTCATGAAAATGTTGTTATGTATTAGGTAATGTACAGAAACTGTAGTTGTCATTATTTATTTTTCATTACGTTGCGTTCCACATGAAACAGTGGACTTCATGCTTGATCTTTGAAGTTTCAGTAGCGGCGATGACCTTTTAACAGAGTTGAATTTCTAGCCCCACGCTCAAGCTCAAATCTTTACGGAATTGACTATAGGTTAGACAATGTTTGGTAGCACGTTGGCTGGAAACAAACCCAATCCACGTGTATGGTTCACAAGCACTCTACCATTCACCCATTGATTCTGATGTTGTCATGTCATAACAATAAAGGTAAGCCGAAATAATTGAGGCAGGGTATTGAGTCCAAAGGCACACAACGAATTTAAAATCGATAAGCAACTCGACTGAGTACTGAAAATAACCTCCTGCTTCACTCGGCTGAGAAAATACCAGGTGACAAAGACTGGTTCGTAAGGACAAATTTACCAGACCGAAATTCACTATATATGTGTACTACCAATACGCATAAAACCAAGCCAGTTTCAGTAAAATAATAGAAAAGATTTGTAGCTCAGGTGGATTATTTTGATTTAGTTGCGTTCTCCAATCTGATGGATTTAACTGAGAAGCTTTCATTGTCTATCTAGAAGTCATATTTGGCTCAGGCTTCAGTATAAGATGAACTTGCTTGAATTCTCTATGAATGATATAACTGTATTGGTTGACAGCCATTATCGTGACTGATTGTAAATTTACACCATCGCTGATCAGGTTTGGTTACTTGGAGTTTGAACTTCCTTGTCACGTGATTTGTTTCTCTTTTGAGTTGATAGATCTGATCTGTAGTAATATATATGTTAACTGCCGAATATTCTGAGTAACAGGCTTCTAGAAATTCTCTGGTGACTTTCCACCGTTTATAGTTTCTGTATGCTCGCAATCAAATTAGTGTTGGTGATTACCTAAATGCACTGATATTAAAGAACACATATGATATCTTTACACATCTAATTTATATTCTTGTATTCTGAGTTGAAAGGGGCGCCTACTTTCACCAATGCAGTGTTTTTTGCAGTTCACAGAATTCGTTTTGTAAATGATATCGATCTTATCTTCTTTTTCTGTTGCATCATTTGGTTTGCATAATATAAATGATTGTATAAGCCCGTATGCTTTGTCTTTTTCAAATGGTATCACTATTCTGGCCGTTATTTCAGAGATATTCTTTACATATGGTAAAACAAATTTTCTTGTGGTTTTTTAGCATGGTTTCTTGTTGGCATTTCGACTTGAGTTTAACATTTTCTGATGAAATTGTATTGTGGTGAGAGTTGTCTACAAGCCAAAATTTTAGACAACAATTTGAGTCAATGTTCACTTCCCGAATTAGGGTCATGAGAAAAACAATATCAAGGCTAAACCTCGAGAAAAATCATCAGCCAATCACAGGGAAGTTAAAGTTTGGGAATATGATTCACAGACATATGACTTGATTTTCTGAATGACCTTCAGCGAAAAAACAACCAATCATAAGAGGTTGCTTCTCCGCTAACAATAACACCAATAATCAGGCACATAAAAATCTATAAATACCTCTTGATTTACTCAATAAACGATCTGTTGCCTGGCCCTTGTCTTCTGTCGTTACAGTATAAGTACTCATCCTTCTTGAAAACAGATGGTAGGCATTTCTCTATCATACTCTTCAGAAGCCGAGTGCTCGGTGGCAAACAGGCAAAATAGTCGCCGGTGTTTAGATCACCATGATCTGGCAGGCAAGCACTAATGCTTCATGTGAATGGTATGCAACTACTCATTTCAAACAATCAGTAGTATATAGCTTTATTCAGTTTGTTTCGGTTCTTCATTCAGTAGCTTTTTGTCATCTTTCTGAACTTCTTGTTTATTCCCCCCTGAATCAAGTTACCTGCTATCTGCAGCTTTTATCACAGATTGTTTTGACATTATTAGCGATTATTTTTCACCTTTTGATATAGTTCTGTTCTCTGAACTAGATAGCTAATTTGCGAAGCTTTCATTGCTCTTCTAGACATTATTTTCAGTGCGTACTTCAATTCAAAGTGGGCTTTTAGATTTCTATACGAGTTAATTAGTCAGCTGTCCTGGTGACATTGAACGTAATTGGTTGTTTTTGTGTGTTTTCACACCATCTTGACCACTTGTACTGGAACTGGTTGTTTCCTGAACTTCAACTTTGACCCTTTGTGTGTGAGGTTTCGTTCTTATCGATTGGTAAATTTTGTCTATCTCGGAGTGTCTATTGATTGATGATTCACTGGAATGCCAAGCTTCTAAAAATTCTCTAGCCTTCTTGTTCTTTCCTCTTTCTAATATTTGAACGTTGGTTGTTCAAGTCGAAATGATATCCGTGGTTGTCTGTATGCAGCGAGATGAGCAAGGGAGTAGATGTCATGTCTTTTGATGGCCGGTTTATGATCATGGATATGAAGACATAAGGGACGTCCACTTTGGCCAATGTAGTGTTTTTCGCAGTTATTACAATTTATTTTGTAGATGATGTTGGTTTTATCTTCTTTCGTTGTTGAGTCTTTTGGTTGACATAGAGGCGGCTGAGTGAAGTGATTTTGTTGGTTTGTGTGCGACGTCAAATTCTAGGGATTTGAACAATCTTGCAGTGATTTCTGAGATGTCCTTTATAAATGGTAGGATGATTTTCTTTGTGCTTTCCTTGAAGGTTTTTGATTTGTTCACCTTGACAGATTTTTATTGTATGTTTATTTGTCCTGGAAATAATATCTACCTTTTTTTATTGAATCTTTTACCAAATATGAACCCTAATTTTCGTTATACTGCCCATGTATAAGATTGAAGTCAGACGAAAGGAAAGAAATTTTTCCTTGAAGAGTTAGTACATTCCACTCCTAAAAGTGTCCATAATGCATCTCTTTTGATATCATCCCCTGCCTTAGGCAACAAAATAAGCTTTAAAATCTACGCACATTGATTTCATTGTCTTTTATGCTTCATTTTCTAAACAGGAGTTTTCAACATCTCCAACTAGAAATTACAATGAAACCATGGTTGTAAATCAGTCAATTCGTATAAATGATTGTGAAAGAAAATCCTCTACAGGTATGAATATTAGTCAAACTAGTAATCCGCCAACTTTACACTTTGACAACGGAACTGGACGTTTTACAGCATGTTATTGCTGTTTAGATACACATTATCTACTAGTTATAACTGGTATCGGTCTATTATTCATTGGACTTGTCCTTCTCTGGCTACTGATCGACATGTTCGACCAGGATGGTTATTGGCAAAGTAAGTTTTCAAATTTTTATTAAATCTATGGATTTGATGTAGAGCAATTTATATGAATTTATTTGATGTGGTTGTCTCCTATGAGGCGGATGGTTTAATCGTGAATCATTCATTATTTTCCAAGACAATACCTGCAACCAAAACCTTAGCATAAAGTGACTGTTTCAGAGTTCTGCGTGAATAATATGACTATTTTAGTGTCGATCATTTCACTCAACTGGAATTCGGCTTCCTTCTTCCCTTGAGACGCTTTCACTCATTGACTGGTGAATTCTTTCTGTGTTAATATGTATGTTGAGTGAAGATTGATCTTAGCACTACGCTTCTATGAGTTCTCTGGCTTTGTATTATTTCTTTGTTCAGCGAAGAAATTTCTTTTCAACGACTTCATTTTCAAGTTGTACAGTCGTATTTATATTACAGAAAAAGGTTATTAAGTGGCACTAAATAATTGCTCAGTCAATGTACGTATATATGTGATAAAAGTTATAAGGGGTGGAGTTGAAGTGGATAAATTACAAAAATATTAAAGATTGTTCTATAACAAAAACACATGACATTTTTGTTATAGAACAATCTTTAATATTTTTGTAATTTATCCACTTCAACTCTACCCCTTATAACTTTTATCACATATATACGTACATTGACTGAGCAATTATTTAATGCCACTTAATAACCTTTTTCTGTAATATAAATACGACTGTACAGCTGGAAAATGAAGTCGTTGAAAAGAAATTTCTTCGCTGAACAAAAACTATGTTTTTACTTGTGAATAAATGGGTATTTTTCGAGATTTGTATTATTTCCACTGTTTAAAGCTTCTGTCTTCTCAGTCAGATTGGTGTCCATAGTTGTCTACATGCATTGATGTGTTGGAATACCCGTCGTGTCCTCTGACGGTTAGTTAACTCTCTTGAAATTGTAGTCCGAGGCGGGATAGATTTTGACCATTTGGTGTTTTCATAATTAATTCAATTTATTAGGCAGATAGACTTTATCTCTGGTCTGAATAGTACTGAATGATTGTGTTGGTTTGTGTATAAGATCAACACCGAACTGTTTTAAAAAGATCCTTTTTTTCTTGGAAGCAGTGATTATTGGACGTTTCTCTTCTCTTCTCCTCAGAGCTGGAGTGCTACCGTGGGATTTAGCCCTAGTGAGTAGTGTTTTATACAGTTTCTTTTGTGTGGTGTTGGATGAATGCTGATGTATTTGACTATTTGATCTGTGTGGGTTGAGTTACCATATACCTGTGTTTCTAGACTTCCTGTATTTCTTTTCCTAACTAAGACACCTAAGAGAAAGGAATTTTATTCTTTGATTCTTCTTCTCTTGTGAATTTAATGTCTTTAAACATGTTGGTGATTAATTTGTATGAGTCCACTGAAAATATTAGCTATCAATATGAGTAATGAATAGGTTCAGTATTTCAACTTGAATTGAAGGTCAACTACTTATGGTATCATATTAAAATAGTATTCACTTTTCGAATCACCCTAGTATATAACAATTCCTATCTAGAATAATTAAATAATAGTTCTAATGAAATATAGTTTGATCATTTACAAGACATAGGGTCACCTTCTTAAACTCAGTTTCAAATTTCGATGGAGTTCTACAGTAACGCTGTATCCCAAACTTTATTACTTTCATTTAAACAAAACGTTCACTATCATTCCGTGAATAACTTCAAGAAGAAGGATCATTCTACAGTAGTGGGAAGGTGGGGGTGAGTTCTTATCGCAAATCAGTGTAAAATAAAAATCCAATGAAATCGAAGGAACACTAGAGAGAATTATTCTTCTAGTCTTTTACTTTTCAGCAGTTAGTACCGGTAAATTAACCAAGGATGGCATCCAGTGTATTCAGATCACGTCGATCATTCAAACCCTTCTTTTGGTATCGAATGACTCAAGAATCCTACTCCTTCGTCAATTCCACCCAGTATCATCAGCAATTAAAGGTCCTAACGTTTGATTTGATGGGTTCCACAGGTCCTCATCCATTACAATTCATACCAACTGTTGTCAGTAATTTGATTTCTCAAAACGTGCATAAATACGATATAACCCTAAATAGCCTGCGTTTAAAACAATTTTCAGCTAAAAATTGAACTTATCTCAAATAAGAGAACCATTGGAAAACCTGAGAGTAATGGACAGATTATTCGTCCTGTTTTGGGACTCTTCAGCGGCACACACCTACCGGGGTTCGAACCCAGAACCTCCAGGCTAGAAGACGATCTCGTAGGCCAATAGGCCACTGGGTTCTCTAAATGACGCCAGCTCATGATGCAAGCTTTCAACCAATCAAACTAAATCCTTACAAAAACCAATACTTGAAAATTTATCTCAAATAATTTACTGTCACCATACTGTTCAGTTTCTCCACATTTTATGTAAATTAAGTTTGTATTATCTCTGTTAAGCTTAAATCAACCTTCTGTTTGGCTCACTGGTTCAATGACTGGAAGGTCGCCAACTACCTAACTGCTCCGAGTTCGACTCCTGGCTGACACACTCTTAGACCTCGTCTAATTTACTAAGCGATAGTGAAGCCTGGAAAGAAAGGGAAGGTTTTACATGAGGCTAGCAAACAAATTCCGCAAAAGCAACACTATGGCTACTGAAATTGAAAAAAACTGAGGCTTTATATTCCACTCGGAATGTCAGAAAAGAATTATGATGACATAATCCGCTTGGTTCAGCTATTATCACCCTGATTAAGACAAACAAAAATTTAATATATGCAACTACTAAGTTTTAACAAACTCTTTCAGACAAGAGAATAATAGTAATGAAGGAGGTGACGTGTAGCGCCTAAATGAAAGTCCGACATAACTGATGCTTCTCTATCCCTTTATGTTTCGTCACCAAGTACCGATATTGCTAACTTCCTAATACACTGAGTGTTGAAGATATCATCAAGCCTAATGATGAGGCGCCTGGGTTCGATTCCTAGTCTGCAAACTGTCACACCTCGTCTATCCATTAGCAGGCCTTTAAAAGAAGAAAAGTTGGGCTATACGCTAGCAACTCCGATCCCCGCGAAATCAATACCTATGCTATTACCAGCCGAAATCTTAAGGGATAAGTATAAATATTTATGTATCTATCTGCCAACAAAACTGCCGAAAACTTAAGCCACAGTTAGGTTCACCTATTCATTATTACTACTATTATTCTTACTATCGCTGTCATCTTTGTAAGCGGTTAAAATAACAAATCACTTAGAGTTTTACTCTCATGCATCTTCGTTTTTATAGATGTTATCGCTTAATGACACAAAAAAGACTATACCACCATTTGGGTTTATCTGCTCATCCATCAGCTCTGTCGCAAACAAAGAAGATATTTTATGCAACATGAAAAGCAAAAAGATAACAAAAGAATTAGGGAGAGATTCACTGTTTGATAAAATCACGTTTGTTCTATCCCACGATTTTAATTTTCGGGTTTTGTTTTCATGGATTTAGAACAATTTCCTTGTAAACTTCGTCACGAATGAACTGATCAGCTAGAGAGCCATTCAAAATCATTAAGGAATACTGAACGGCTGTTTGGTCCTGTTTTTGAGACTCTTCAGTGGTGCGCTCTCATAGCAGTACCATAGATCCTACCAACGACCTTTAGGTTAATCCAAAACCCTACAATACACCCAGTTAATTAGTGGCTACTGAATAGACATCCTGAAGCTCTAATAAGAAGCTGTCGCAGGTGTTTTCAGCCATTTTATGGTAAAGCAGATGCTTGCTGATGGCGACGATTGACGGTGGTTCTATACTCCTAACTGATAGGAGTTAGAACTCATGAATCAGTAGGCTTCAAAGCAAGGAGCTAAATGGTTGATGTGCCGTCTTCGTACCTAATGGGTAATGGGTTCAATTCCTACTGGAAATATGGATAGGTACCATCTAGGAATCTCAAACTGTGATAAAATAGCTGTTCACTACTCCATGGCAGTTTTTAATGAGTTTCTAATTGATATGTTTGTTCGCAACGAAATCTATGCTGATGTAAAATATTATTCAGCATTATTGTTAAGGCGTTCTTAAAATAAGACCCAAATTATCACTGCTTTTTTAGAACAGAAATAAAGTATTTTAAGTGTAGATTTCACTACGAAGTGACACTAGGATAACCACCTTCGAAACGCGTGGAGAGCTGGAGAGCATCTTCGTCATAGTTTACACCTCCTCAACGCTCCATAAATATGAGTATATTAGGGGTAAGTTTTAGTACCTTCAGGTTACGAGTGAATATTGTTGACCATTCAATCACTACTTTAATTTGTTAACTGAGAATATTTGTAGCTCAGGTAAATGGTTTTGATTTAGTCATGTTCTGTGAACTTGTTAATTTGCTGTCGTGAAGATGCTGTCTTGAAGGATAACGAAAGCTCTGATGTTAAATCAACCCGCTCATAGAACAAAACTGAATCAAAATATCTTACTGTATTCGTTTTAATCCCTTACCTTCCAAGTGGAATGTATTCCTTCAAGCGCAGGCTCTGAAATTTCAGAAGTAGTAGTGTTTATCTCTTTAAGGGCAAGCCTCACGATCATCCTCTAGTTTTCACCGAGCTTACTACCAGCTAACAGAGGTAAAGAATTGCGTTAGCCGGGACTAAATACGTGACTGGCAAGTAGTCTACTACCAAGCCACTGACGTTCAAGTGCTCTACTGGTTAACGTCTTGTCGTTTGAAATGATGGGTGTGGAATTCGCGTGTCTGTAAGGACATTATCACTCACTGGGGATTGAGTGGAGGCCTAGATGACGCGTCTCAAATAAGAAGAAATACGCTACCTTGATTCCATTGCTACTCACCATCTACGAAGTTATTTCCTTATATGTTTTAAATTTGCTGTATATCAGTAACGAAAGTCTGACCGAGTATGCAAGATTTGTTCTTCTAAGAACAAAGAATTTAGGTATTTTACAGGTTTTATGTGTAAAACATTTGTTCTGGCTGGTTAACGCTGGAATAACAAAAGCT